GACAGCTGCAACTGGCAGAGCAGGTCTGCAGGTCCCTCTCGTGTGCCCGCCCCACCGCTGCACCCAGGCCCCCAGCCTTCGCCTGTTCTTTGGTTCCTGCAGGGAGCCCCTCCTCCCAGCTTCACCAACCCGCTACCACCCACTGAGCTGCCCGACACCCTCCTGCAGCTGCTGTCCCCATTCTAGCCGCAAGCTGCAGTGCTGCTCTTGGTCCCAATCCACTGCCTTTCCCTCCCCTGTGCAGCCCGGTTCCTTCCAAGAACCTCAGGTACTTGGGTCTCCAAGCTGTCTTCTCTCCTGCTTCAACTCACTTGGGCTAGTATGTGGCCTGGTGGTTAAGGGAGTCATATCCTATGTGGCTGACTGCACAGTTCAAATCCCGGACTCGGGCTTGAAAAAAACACAAGGCGTGTAGGTGAGCCCATGGCCCAGGAGGGAGACCTGGAGAAGGGACCGCAGCATGGCCATTCCCATGAGGGTGCTCCTCTCCTCTTTCTGTCTCTGGTGAGCACGCGTAAAGTGAGAGCCAGAACCCATGTGTGCACTCCGAGACAGCCAGAGGGAGATGGAGCCATCACCCCGGGGGATGGCCACACCGCGGTCCTTCTCCCGGGACTTGGGCATGCACCCACACATACCCTGTGTGAGTTTCAGGCCGCCAAGTCCAAGACTCAAACCCTGGTCGGCCATGTGGGAGTCTAGCACTGTAGCTACTGTGCCACCTACAAGCCTCACCCAGGCTCTTCTTAACAATTGCTTGTGACCTCTGTTTCTAAGCCACTTAACTGACAGTCCTGGTTTGTTTTTTATTTAAGAGTATTATTTATTCCATGAGGGAGGGAGGATGGGAAGGGCATCCTCACCACAAGGTCTTCATAGCACGACTGGCCCCCAGCCTCAGCCAGCCAGGACCATGGGCATGCAGCCCCGACTCCCACCGTGTGCACTCAGGGCCATGGGCATGTTATCCCCGACTCCCACCGTGTGAACTCAGGGCCGTGGGCGTGCTGTCCCCGACTCCCACCGTGTGTGCTCAGGGCTGTGGGCGTGCTGTCCCCCGGCTCCCACCGTGTGCACTCAGGGCTGTGGGCGTGTTGTCCTGACTCCCACTGTGTGCGCTCAGGGCTGTGGGCGTGTTGTCCTGACTCCCACCGTGTGCGCTCGGGG